CTGCCCTTCAGGGATGCTTTCTGAAGGAGGGTGGGAGGAGCAGGTGTCAGCAAGGGTGGTCAAGGACCCTATCCTGAGGCCAGGCCGCTCCCATGTGACCCTGAGAGGCCCCCTAAAAGGGAGGCTAAAGAAGGCTTCACCAAGCAGTGGCTCCTAATCAGAAGACCCCCCCCCCCCCCGTTAAGCCCTAGCCCTGGGGGTAGCCTGGAGAGGACATTTTGCTGAGCCCCAGTGTTGAGGGGACAACAGGAAGGATTGGGAAGCCTGAAACATCCCCAAATAAGGCCCATGGAGGTCTTCCCCATCCTGAGGTCTCACCCCTCCTTCCAGCAGGCTATCAGAAGCTCACCTGGCCACTCTACCTCCCAAATCACCCTCCTACTGACCCCTGCTTCAGAGGAGGTAGCAGGTATCCAGCTACCCACCAGCCCAGCCCTGCACATGCATCCTCTTATCTTATTCTAAAGATGCTCTGAGTAGAGGAAACTGAGGCTCAAAGGGGCTCCAGAGACCTGCCTAGCCCTAACCCTGCCTGTTGCCCTCAGCTAAGGGAAGACCCCAGACCCCGTGGGCCCCTCCCTACAGCAGGTCCCACCTTGTTCTTCAGGTCCTCAACGATCTGGTTGTAGTGAGTGTAATCATGGAGAGGTGCTGGAGCCTGCTTTTGGTACCAGTCTCGGATCTTCACCTCCAGCTCACCATTGGCCTCTTCCAGAGCACGCACTTTGTCCAGGTAGGAGGCGGGGCAGACATTGAGGTTCTGCATGGTGGCCTTCTCTCCTCCGGCCACCAGCCCATCGACACTCCCAAAGCTGCTGCCATAGCCACCACCAGCGCCAAAGCTGTAGCAGCTGGAAAAGCTGCTGCTGCCCCCAAGGGCGCTGCCCAGGCTGCTGGCCGACCCCAGCCGGCAGGAACCCCCACCCAGGCTGCCAGACAGCCGGCAGGAGGTGCGGGAGCCTCCCCACAGTCCCGACAAGCCCTTGATGGAGCTGGAGGAAGTGAACTGGCGGATAGTGGTGGTCATGGTGGCAACCGGCGGGAAGACTGTTTGCTCTAGAGGATGAAAGAGGCCCCAAGGTGCATGCTGCTGTCGGGCCTCGCCTGCCACCTTTATAGACCGACAAGTGGGCGGTGTAGCGATTACAACATCCTCTGATTCCATTCCCCTTGGCTTTCATCACCTCTGGCCACCCGCCAGCTCCCAGGTGGCTCTGCCCCCCTTCTTGCCCCCCACCATGGAGCTTTGCCTCATTTCTCCCGGAAACCTCGTGCTTGTCTTGGGTCCCAGGCCTCTCAGGCCGTCACTTGTGAATCAGGCAGCCCTCTGGCTACGCTTTCCTAAGACCTAATATGGAGAAGTGGAAAAAGCAGGAAGTCGCAGCCACCACGCTCTCCCAGGCAGTGTCACCTCAGTACGGCCAGCCAGGACCCAGTGACTTCGGGAATTCTGGTTCGGCAGCCCCCAGTCTGAGGTTGACCTCCAG